GGCTTCACCCCAGCCTGATTACAACAGCATCAACAAGAGAAGAATAAAGCAAAAAAATAAACAAAATCCTTAATTCTGCAGAACAGCCACATAAAGCTCCAAGAACAGATCAATCAGTCTTTCTGATGAAATGGGAGCTGTACTGAGGCCCATGCCCAAGATTTAGTTTTCAAAAATAAAAATGTTTGCAGAATGCTTGATTTACACAATCCTCCATAAGGCTGCCTAGAAAGTGTGATCTCTTAATATTTTGCTTAAGAACAAGAAAGCAAATCTGTCCAGGCTAAGTTCTGTCATCTCAGAGAGAGTAACAGATGGAAAGTTTTGTTTTGTTTTTAACCATTTAAAAATATCTTGAGTGTTCCTAAGAATAAGTTTTGGATTGTTTGACACTGTTAATCATTTTTTAAACACAAAAGGGGAAAGCTGAAAGAAGAAGAAATTCAGTTTCATCTATTCAGTCTTTACTCCCTTTGAAGATGACATACACATTGCTAGTGCAAACTTCTGGGAATTCAGATGCCCATTCGCAAAGCACGCACAAGCTCAGCTCAGGGATGATACCAATCCCCTGGGGCGAACAGCAGTATCAGAGCACTCTGTCATGAAGACCAAGCAGCCAAGTGGAGTTGGCTAAAGAGCAGCGCAGTTCCCAGCATAAGGGCCAGCTCAGCATCACAGCAGTTCCCTTGAAAGAAAGCTTTTTGGAGCATGCATCCCTGAGAGGATACATAAATCCCAGGAATTCTGTGCCGATGCTCCTACTTCAGCTGGAAGCACTGCACAGGGGCAAGGCAATTTGCACAGGGACGCCTTGCATGCCAGCTTCCATGCTGACCCCAGCCTGGTTCAGCAGCACAAAGTCTCAATCCCAATTGCCCTGCTCCAGGAAATAAAACCGAGGGTAGATTCTCATTTCCAGCATTAAATTGCATCATAAAAACAAAACGAAGCAAAGCAGAAGAATCGCATCCCCCTCTCCTGGTGGAAATCAGAAATGCTGCCTCCAGGTCAGATCTGGATCAGAACAAATTGGATTTAAGTGTCAAGTGACCTTTCT